AAGTCGTTCGGTAATAAATGTTGCAGTCCCAACCGATAAAAAACACATCTAACTAAATACAACGATCTCGAGATTGTGAATTGCTTGATTTTGATTTTTACGCTTTATCAACTTCTTTAATGAAAGCCAGAATATATTTTAGATTGTAATATTTTTTGTGAGTGAATATTGCATTAACAGTATGAGAATAACAATGATTTTTTTCCAGATCAAGTTCTACTATTTAACCCATAGCTGGGGTAAGAAGATTAGTTCTTACTTTCCCTAAGGGTATTTGTGCGTAAGTGAATATAACGAACACGACTGGAATTTAAACTCAGTTCTGAGAGTTCTAATTCCGAGCCGTTATCCATTGCACCACCCACACAAAGACATCGAGATAGAGATCAGTGTTATCTCAAGACAATAACATTATTGTTAATAAGGTTTGGGGAAAGACATTCTGAGCAGCAAACAAATACACGGATCAAATTCTTGGTAGCTTTAAATTTTGTAAATCGCAAAAGGAAAAAAATCAAAAAAATCATCATACCCATGCGTACTTTCCACATCTTTGGTAGATTAATCTTCATGCACTGACCACAATTACATTTTTTTTCTGTTTGCACCGTACCGATACAAAGCATCGTTATCTCTCGAAGTCTCTGGGGCAACTTGCACAAAACTATCAATAATGATGACGGCTTTCTGATACCGATGATTAAAAGGTGGCTTCGAGCGAATGAAGCAATATAGATCCTAGCGAAGACCTTCCTTTATCAATCCTAGCCCGAGAAAATTACAAAGAACTGTAGCAAATAACAGAAATCACATCATTTGAGAACTTTTAACAACAACTAAACTATACAACGCATGTAACTCGAAGAGAAAATAATGATTTAATCAAGGTGTTAATTGTCCACACCACTTTCAACAAAAAGTTAGGAAGGAAACTGCCATCAATCCTGGAAAACGAAATAGCAGTTGAGAAACAGTAAGTTTTTTTTTTAGTTATAATAAAAAAAATCAGCAAAACAGAGACGCAGGTCATTTCAACGGGTACATCTTATAATAAACTTTAAATATCGGACGTTACAGGTCAAGTAGCCCAAAGGTTATTGCTTTGCTGTGACCAGAAAGCAACGGCAACGTAAATATAATTGTTGGATAGTCAGGATTAAGTAGATAGAATGTAAACGATATATAACGTTTTCTTTTGTGTAGATTTTATGTCAGTTCACTCTACAAAGGCTATTGGTACAATGTAACCTGGTCGTACCTGATATACGGTCGGATCATGGTCGATTAATCCAGTTTCTTGACCAGGATTGAACGTTCTTGTATGTTCAGCCATTGAGCACAATTAGGGTCCATAGTTATGGATGCAGTCAGTACAGTTAGGGTTGCATGGTCGTGACCAAGATCGGCTGAGGTTTCAACTAGAGAAACATAGGCTCAGCTTCCCGAAACAAGCTAGGCGTTGATGATACCTCCGGTTTCAAACCCGGTATTGCTGACATTTGGTCCAGATAGGTGAAAGGTCAGCAACAATTCGATCACAGCCGTTCATAGGACTGATACTGATTTTGAGCGAACTAAAGGAAAAGTTTACAATTAGAAGAAAACGCGCATAAACATTGTATTATTTCTTAAATGTTTCTACATATTTAATAAGTTTAATGAATTTTTATTTGTAACAATGCTTTATGAACAATTAAATAAGTTTCCACAGAATTTTTCGAAATTGTTGGCATCAGCCCAATTGAATATTTGCTAAATTAGGTTTTTATTTGGTCAAATATTCCTGGTATTAATTTGTTTCTAATGTTTAGTTTTTGGTTAAAATTGTATTTTCAGTAACATATCTAGAGTTTCAAAAACCAATACCTCAAAAAAGACTGGAACAGTATTCTAGAACTGCGACTGGGCAAACCTCCTCCCCTGAATGAGAAGGGTTAAATAGGTGGAAGGAAAAATATTTGGAAGTGTTCTATTGTTCTGACAATCTTTGGGAGGGAAAGTTAAAAAAAAAAAAAAAAAAAATTAATGGTTGTATAATGATTATCGGAAATTGATATTCGGAATATTGTCAATTTTACGGTTATAAAACTCCGGCGTTGTACTCCGGCCTTCAATTTAGTGGAAGGAAACAAGCATTACATCAGGAATTCGGTGATAATTTGAAGATCAATCCCTGAGCAGAGTTCTGCAGAAACAGGGTGAGCAATACATAAGCAGTAATAAATGGGAACAAGAGTAGAGATCTATGGACAACGAAAGAATCTACTTCCGTAGATTAATAAAGATCTCAGCTCTAAATTCCTCGAGAACTGCCTGGGTTAATCAGCACATCGGCCGAAACTAGCGAGGAGGAGAAAAAAAAAAAAGACTAGAATAATTTAATTCTGGAGACTGGGTCAGTGGCTTAGACAAAATCTAAGACCAGAAAAAAAAAAGTCGGCAATTGTAGATATTGAGCACTTACGTGACAGTTCTGGTTAAGTAATAGCGATAGAAATTAGATTTTCAGTTTCAATTCTACCTGTTTCCTGCCACTTAACCGTAGTCTATATGCAAGTCAAACTTCGTGGAAAAAATGCCTATAGTTAATAGAGTAGAAAAAACATCTAGCATGATTGAATAGTCAAAATGAACTATGGGAATAATGGCGCTAGCAGAACAGTGACGAAATGAACTTATTTCGTAAATAACAAAAGCAGCACGAAAAGCAGAAATATATTTCACCCAAGAGTGAAACCTGAAATGTAACGAAATTATTCGTGCTGTAGTGTTTATTAGCATTAAACATTAACAAACAACTATATTAATTATATAGACATATAATTAACTAATTTAAACAGTCTGTAACAACATCCATTTAGGACTTGGGCAGTATTTTTTATTTGTCTGACGAAGATAAGCATTGCATTCCACCTTGCCGATAAAACTTTGATCGTCGTCATCAAAGTCAAGATGGCGGCTATATCTGTGAGCAGTAATTACCAACATTTAATCAGTTTGGGAGAAATTCATCGCAGTATTTTGAAACACTGTAGTAAAATAGGTTTTTGCATTATTAGGGTAGTTTGAGCAGATCGAATAGCGGTCCAGTAATTCCAGAGTCTTGTTTGAAAGAAGAGATTCAAACAGCGACAAGTCAAATACTAGATAAGAAAGGCGTCACTAATACTACGACCGAACTGTGGAAATAAGTGCTGACAATCGTCGTTACTCAAAGACTTGTCCGTGAAAGTTTTGCGCCAGAATCAATAATCGTGCCTGCTTATCTTCAATGCCGTCGGCCATAGAGAAAAGCTATAGAAAAACTTATTGTTTAGAGTAATTCTGGTTTGGCAGTATTTTTTGTCCCAACGTTGTGTTAGGGATCTTGATATTGGCATTGACGTCAATGAGCCGCTTAATGAAGGTTTGGACAAGTGTTCTCTGATTTTTGTCAAATCGGAAAATAGGTTTATTTTTGCCAAGGGACTTAGAAGAAATCGTTTGACATTCTAGTTTGTTCACCACAATCTTCGTCGGCCATAGAAATAACCAACCGTCAAAGCATTCGATTGGATAAGTGCACATCAAACTAGCGTTGAGATGCAAGCTGGCTTCTTCAGTGTCCCCATAAAAATAGCAAATATCCCAATATGGAGAAAAACACAGCCCGTTTGATTGTTAAATGAGGGGTGATTTTCGCGGTAGTATTCTAGCGCCAACAGGTCAACGTTAATAACTACCAAGTACAATTCGTTCCCAGCCCGTCGTAAGGAGGGAAAGCTCGGAATCAAATCCTTTCGATTCTAGGAGCTGTGCAAAACCAATCTCAGCCGTAGTTTTGTTTGAGGTTTTCAAGAGGTTTTAATCGAATTCATCGTCAGCAAGCATGATTATCCAGATGTTCATTGAAAGCCTTTCTGCAAATGGAATCCAAACCCAAAGCCAAGAAGGTAGCTATCTTGAACCAGTCACTTTAGGCAAGGCCAAAAAGCTCAAAAACTTATAGCTCCAGCATAAGATGAACTTTCAGCACAACCACCGGCAAAAACCAAGTTATGGATATCGAAATTCTGCGCATTAATATTTGCTATCGGTAAGAGACCGGCAACGACCTTCTCTTCAAATTGATTCCCCAAAACTGGCCCTTTTGGGAAAGTAAAAAACCGTATAAAGTTATATTTCCCAAAAGTTCCCCCAAGGTAGTTAATTGGGAAAAAAGAGAACTTTTCGTAAGATTGAGGCATTCCATTTGTTTTCAGGAGAACTGAATAGGTTTTTTAAATTTCTTTGTTACTTAAATCCTCAAAAGATTGTTTTCAATTTGTCCATTCAGGCAGAATTCAATAATTAAACTCGCCATTCCACTAATCAAACATTTTTATTGTAATTATTTATTACTGTATACCCTACAATAATTTTTCATATGGCCGAATAGAAGTGGTGAAAAAGCTGGTTTATTCCTAGAATCAAGTCGACCCATTCATCTGATTAGTTTGTTTTAAAAAGGAAACATTATCCATTCCCTACATATTTTTATAAAACCACAGAAACAATTTAGGTGTTTGGGGGGACCCAAAACTCTAAAATGTTTAAAGGATAAACATGCAAATAATGGTGGGGAAATTAATAAATTAACCATAATTTAAAAAAAACTAAAAATTTTTAGTGACCGGACAAAATTTTTCACCACTTCCTATATCCACTATGAGTGGATAGGAACAAAACCATGTGTTGAATTCATCTTGGATATGTTTTGTTAACCATTGACTGGGTGGACAAAATGTAACAACCTTGAGGATTGAACCCGCGTTGAAATCTCAGTAAATTTTTTTTTTCGCTATTCAGTTCTCCTGAAAACAAAATGGAATCGCCTCAATCTTACGAAAAGTTCTCTTTTTACTTTCCCCGCAATTATTCACTACCTTCTTACGAAATTTGCAAATTGAACTTCATGGGAAATATATAGGTTACTTTCACACCGCTAAAGTTGACGCAGTTTAACCATGGGGAACGACTTTATGAAAGCTCGCCAAAGACGCCCAATCGAAGAGAAGGCCGTTGCCGGTCTCTTACCGATAGCAAATATTAATGCGCAGAATTTCGATATCCATAACTTGGTTTTTGCCGGTGGTTGTGCTGAAAGTTCATCTTATGCTGGAGCTATAAGTGTTCTTGAAAAACTTGGCCTTATGCCTAAAGTGAAACGCTTTGCTGGTGTCGGCACTGGAGCCATTGTAGCTACCTTCTTGGCTTTGGGTTTGGATTCTAATGAATTGCAGAAGGCTTTCAATGAACATCTGGATAATATGCTTGCTGACGATGAATTCGGTTACGAAAACCTCTTGGAAAACCTCAAACAAAACTACGGCTGGAACACTGGCACGAAATTCCTGGAGTGGTTTGCACAGCTCCTAGAATCGAAAGGATTTGATTCCGAGCTTTCCCTCCTTCAGTTGTACGAAAAGACTGGGAACGAATTATGCTTGGTAGTTATTAACGTTGACCCGTTGGCGCTAGAATACTACCACCCGAAAATCACCCCTCATTTAACAATCAAACGGGCTGTGTTCCAGGCCCTCTCCATACCTGGGATATTTGCTCCTACCAAGTATGGGGACACTGAAGAAACCAGCTTGCATCTCAACGCTAGTTTGATGTGCACTTATCCAATCGAATGCTTTGACGGTTGGTTACTTTCTATGGCCGACGAAGATTGTTTCCTGAACAAACTAGAATGTCCAAACGATTTCTTCTCTACCGAAAAGTCCCTTGGCACCAAAAATAAACGTACACTTGGCTTCTTCCGATTTGACAAAAATCAAGAGAACACTTGTCAAACCTTCATTAAGCGGCTCATTGACGTCAATGCCAATATCAAGATCCCTAACACAACGTTGGGACAAAAATACAAGCAACACTGCCAAACCAGAATTACTCTAAACAATAAGTTTTCTCTGTTGCGCAAAACATGTACAGCTTTTCTCTCTATGGCCGACGGCATTGAAGATGAGCAGGGCACGATTCCCATTGATTCTTTGGCGCAAAAGCTATTCACGGACAAGTCTTTGAGTAAAACAGATTGTCAACATTTATTTCCACAGTTCGGCCGTAGTCTTAGTGACTTAAAAGCTTTCTTATCTAGTATTTCCAACACCGATACGACACTGACTCGTCGCTGTTTGAATCTCTTCTTTCAAACAAAGACTCTAGAATTACTGGACCGCTATTCAGATCTGCTCAAAACTACTCCTAATAACTTGCAAACCTATTTTACTACAGTGTACGACGCTCTCCAAAATACTGCGATGAATTTCTCCCAATCTGATTATGACCGAAGTGTTGGTATATTCACTGCTCACGTCTATAGCCGCCATCTTGACTTTGATGACGACGATCAAAGTTTCCTCTATCGGCAAGGCTGGAATGCAACGGTTGCCTATCTTCGTCAGACAAACAAAAATACTGCCCAAGTCCAAACTGTTTCTGTTGTCTCTACAGACTGTTTAAATTAGTTAATTACTTGTCTCTATATAATTAATATAGTTGTTTGTTAATGTTTAATGCTAATAAACACTACAGCACGAATAATTTCGTTACATTTCAGGTTTCACTCTTGGGTGAAATATATTTCTGCTGTTCTTTTTTTTGTTATTTGCGAAATAAGTTCATTTCGTCACTGTTCTGCTAGCGCCATTATTCCATAGTTCATTTTGACTATTCAATCATGCTAGATGTTTTTTTTACTCTATTAACTATAGGCATTTTTTCCACGAAGTTTGACTTCTTACATATAGACTACGGTTAAGTGGCAGGAAACAGGTAGAATTGAAACTGAAAATCTAATTTCTATCGCTATTACTTAACCAGAACTGTCACGTAAGTGCTCAATATCTACAATTGCTGACTTTTTTTTTTTTTTTCTGGTCTTAGATTTTGTCTAAGCCACTGACTCAGTTTCCAGAATTAAATTATTCTAGTCTTTTCCTCCTCGCTAGTTTCGGCCGATGTGCTGATTAACCCAGGCAGTTCTCGAGGAATTTAGAGCTGAGATCTTTATTAATCTACGGAAGTAGATTCTCTTTCGTTGTCCATAGATCTCTACTCTTGTTCCCATTTATTACTGCTTATGTATTGCTCACCCTGTTTCTGCAGAACTCTGCTCAGGGATTGATCTTCAAATTATCACCGAATTCCCGATGTAATGCTTGTTTCCTTCCACTAAATTGAAGGCCGGAGAGTACAACGGCCGGAGATTTATAACCGTAAAATTGACAATATTCCAAATATCAATTTCCGACAATCATTATACAACCATTAATATTTATTTTTTACTTTTCTAATATTTTTTTTTTTTTTTTTTTTAACTTTCCCTCCCAAAGTTTGTCAACAATAGGACATTTCCACAATATTTTTCCTTCACCTATTTAACCCTTCTCCTTCAGGGGAGGAGGGTTGCCCATTCGCAGTTCTAGAATACTATTTCAGTCTTATTTGAGGTATTGGTTTTTGAAACTCCAGATTTGTTACTAAAAATACAATTTTAACCAAGAACTAAACACTAGAAACAGATTAATACCAGGAGTATTTGACCAAATAAAAACCTAATTTAGCAAATATTCAATTGTGCTGATGCCAACATTTTCGAAAAAAAATTCTGTGGAAACTTATTTAATTGTTCATAAAGCATTGTTACAAATAAAAATTCATTAAACTTATTAAATATCTATACCTTTTCAACTTCAAAATGATAATAATCAACTTCAAAATTATTTTTTTCAGTTAAAAAAAAATAATCAACTTAAAATTGGAATACAATTTCAAAATGAGAAATCAACTTCAAATTGAGAATTAATGACTAATAAATTTAATATTCTTTTATTTTTACTTAAAAGGGATATAAAAAAATATAAACGTTCCTAAGAAATTTATTTAAAAGATTACATCTAAGTTAATTACAGAGGGAAGTAATCTCTGTATTCCAGATACGAAGTTAGTGCAAGTCTCAGGGGAAATATTATCAGTTGCCTCAGATCATCGCTTCTAACTTGCTAAGGCGGGATTTTTTAGTAGTTAAAGATCCCTGGCCATCACCTTAAAATCCGAACAATTGAGTCTGCCATACTTCTTTTTACGTCTGCTTTAATGACTGACCAAACCTTTTCAATGGGATTTAACATCGGGCTATAGGAGGGGGGGGCAAGTCTGAAAATTTGGTGTTGCCTAAATTCATCCTTTTCCACAACTTCTTCAATTGAAGTATGGCAAGGAGTGTTATTAGTAACTAAGACATCTCCCCTTTCATAAATTTCATTTGCCTTTTCAATTCTTTCGCATCCTCTTTTTTGAAAGAACCTCTTTTAATTTTATGATGAATTAATCCATTATTACTAATACATCCACGAACATGGATGTTATTTCCCCTGGGTCCGGCCGCGACTGTAGTGCACCTTGTGCCTTTTTTAGCGCGACCTTCTCTTCTTGAAATATGGAGATTAAAATTGGCTTCATCCATATAAAGAATTGGCACACTTTGGGACTGAAATTCTAATAAAGCTACTGCGTAATCCTTACGTTTCGCCTTATTGACATTATTGGTCGCTTCTGGTTCATAATGCACCGCTTTTAAAATAAAGGCCATGGAGTCCAAGTACTTTCTTATACATTCTTTCGTCACACGAACCTCATACTTTTCGACCAACTTATTTACAATGTCTTGAAGAGTGACCCTAGGAGAGTTTTCAATTAATTCGGCCATAAAATTCTTATGCTCTTGCGAAATTTTATATTTTCTTGCTCCTCCCCTAGAGTCACTCCTATCAGCACCCTGGTCTAACCAACGGTACGCTGTTGGCAGAGGCACACTTCAAATTTCCTGCTGCGGCATGTGCAGCTAAAATCTGGGCCTTTTTTTTCGCAAGCCACAGTTTTCTTGAGGTAAGTCCTCTTTGGAGCTGTTGCTAATTCTTCTTCAGCTTCTTTTGTAGAGGTTTCTCCAGCATCATCAAATCATCATTTTTGCCCATACGGGAATTTCTCCTACTTTTACTGTAGGCTCACCCAATGCTTTCTTGGCCTCTAAGTTGTTTGTATTTTTTTTTTTTAATCATCTATATAATGAAGACGTACAGTCAATTTCCTTACTCATGGGGTAAATTAATTGAAAAAGTAATTTTCAATTTACCAAAAAAAATCTCAATTTGAAGTTGTTTATTCTTATTTGGAAGTTGATTGTTTTAAGGTTTTCGACATTTTCTCAATTTGAAGTTGATTAATCCATATTTAAAGTTTATTATAAGATGTACCCGTTGAAATACCGTTGAAACTTAGACTGTTTCTCAACTGCTATTTCGTTTTCCAGGATTGATGGCAGTTTCCTTCCTAACTTTTTGTTGAAAGTGGTGTGGACAATTAACACCTTGATTAAATCATTATTTTCTCTTCGAGTTACATGCGTTGTATAGTTTAGTTGTTGTTAAATGTTCTCAAATGATGTGATTTCTGCTATTTGCTACAGTTCTTTGTAATTTTCTAGGGCCCGTAAAAAATTTTGAATGTCAAGGCTGGCAAGTGATAATTAGAAAAAAAAATCAATTTCATCTATGACGTTAATGAAGTTAATTTTTAGTCTAATCCGACTGAATTATCGAAATGAGTGACAGGGCAACAAGAAACCAGAAGAATATTCAACAATTAAAAAGTTCGACAAAAAGAAACTATTAGAATATCACCAGAGTCTAAATATCTATAAATATTCTAATCACTGAGAAAAACCGTTTTGAGTACTTCAGCTAGAAAGAAATTTGTCTGCCCATTGTCTTCTCAACTGAGCAATGGGACTTCCGGTAATGGTACCAAAATTCATACACTGGCTTCCATCTTCAAAGTCCATTGAAGAACCATCAAGAGAACTGTGAATAAGTTTAATAAAGAGGGAAGAGTAGAGAGGAAAACTGGATGAGGAGGAGATCAATTAGAAAAGAGAGTAGTTTCACTTTTTGACACTCCAAAGAACAGTGAACAAAACTTGAAAATGAAATTGTACGTGAAGCATCTTGTTACTCCAGAAGGTTAGAGGGCAAAAATCAACTGGAATAAAGTGAAAATTGATCTATCTATATGTTTATATGTATTATATATATAAATATGACTTTAAATTAATCCTTTATGAGCTTCCGAGATTTAGTTATGATTAATTAATGATGAACATGTCATTTTTTCGTTTATCAATTTCATCATCATTTTTCCGTTAAGCTTGAATAGTAATTATACATTCTTATTCTTTAAAGTAGAGTTCAATAGTATTATAAAAAACCTCGGAGAATTTCAGTAAGATATCATTAACCATTTTAAGATACAATAGTTCAAATCTTAATCTAACAATTGGACAATTTTGGTGTTACACCATCTATATATATATATATATATATATATATATATATATATATAAAGTGAACATTAAAGTTAACGCTTAGAGGCGAAAGTCTGTTTCATTTGTTTATTTATTTATAAATAAATTTATAAACGACTTCCGGCAAAATAACCGCTAAAATAGACTACCCACAATGCACCATGCGAGTTCTAAGGGAATATTTTTTGACCGAGTCTACGTGCTCGGAGAAACAGACGTTAAACTCGGCCTTGTGCCACATAAATTCCTCGTGAGGGACTGTTAAATATCGGCCTAACGATTGCGTTGAGGCAGTCGACACGCAGTCTCTGACTGTGTGCGACTTCTGTCGAACTCTCTGCTTTGGCAGAGAGGAACCCGGACGAAGCTTTGCCGAAGGGCAAAGTTTTGTCCGGGGAGGTAGACAGGTCCCTTATCGGCTTATGCGGGTTCTAAGGGATTATTTTTTGGCCGAGCCTACGGGCTCGGAGAAACCCACGTTAAACTCGGCCTTGTGCCACATACATTCCTCGTGAGGGGACTGTTAAATATTGGCCTGACGACCGCGTCTAGTATGAAACACTTAAGTGTTGACTTAAATGTTCACTTTTATATTTAGACACGCTCTATCTCTGATATTGAACACTTTATTCCATAAATATAGCACACCTTAAGACATGTATATAATCTCCTCCAGTGAGGATTAAACTTCTTCGACTAGCTCTGAACTGTGAGACTAGCTTGAAAAAACTTGCATCATATTAGATGTTCTAATATATTATTATATAGGTAAAGTGTCTAGAGATTTGGAACGGTGCAAAGAAGTCGCAATGATAAAAGTCAAAGTTTGTTTAGGAAATGTCAAATCCATTTATTCTCGTTGAATGCAATCACGAAATATCAGTTAATCGATTTCATTTTATGAGTATCTTAGAGAACCGCAGTAAAAACGTAATTATTAATCAGAAACTTTGATCTGTATTTCAGGTGCTGGCCTTAATGGTGACAATATGAAACGAGGAATTTACGGAAGAGCACATTTATGAGCACTTTTCTTTTATTGTCGATGCGTCGATGAAAATTTATTGCAAATATAAGTATCGTTGGAAAGATGCGACAAATCTG